CGGATCAGAGAATTGGCCAGAGTGTCATAAAGACCATCTCAAACAAACTTCAGACCTTCATTACAGTTAGTTTTTCGCTCAATACCATCAAGATCAGATGGCCGGCCAGAAAAGATCACCAACAGGCATGGATCTCTGGGAGCGAACCAACCAGAAACCGATTGTGAAACAAATAGGCAGGAAGAAATGGAGATGGATTGGCTGGCCATATGCTGAGGAGACAAACCATCAAGTGACACCACTAACAAGCCATCGCTCGAGTGTAACCTGAAAGGAAAGCGGTGAGTTGGTCGTCAGTGTAAGGGTGACTTGGAGGAGGTGATGTGAATAGGAGATGAAAGCATGTGGAAAGACTTGGAGTGGAATGAAAAAGTTGGCAGAAAACCGAATGCAATGGAAACGCGCAGCTGAAGCCCTATGTTCCTCTAGGAATTAAAGGATATAATAAAATAACAATAAATAAACTTAGCTTCATCCTTAATGTCTTCTGTGATACAAAAATCATGGTAACAAACCACTTCATACAAGTCAAACTTGTGTCTGAAAGTGAAATTTAAAATACCTGACATTTGCAAGGATTTAGCTTAAGATCATTCAACAAAGGCCATTGGCGAATTTCTAATAAAAAAGGTATTCATTTCGAAACAATCTCACTGTAGTGTGACTGGCGTGGAAGCAGTCAGATCATTGACGTGCTTAACAAAAGTGGTTTAGTCACAATAAAGCCAGTCATGTTAAAAGGAAAGAAAGATAATTAAAACCATAATACTACCTAATGCATAGTTCTATACAAGTACAAAACGTCTAAAGATGTTGAACATTAAGTAAGACTGAAACATGGAATAAAGTGTTACCAAAAATACTTGGAATACCTTAAGATAGTTTTGAAAATTTAACATAATTTGAAGTGAAGACAGGAGTGAGACAAGGCTGCCTGCTATCATCGATGATATTCCTAATTGTGCTGGACCGAATTATTTAGAAGACTATGCGGGGAGAGCGGGAAGACAGGAATACTTTGAACTGATAAGAAGATTCTGGAATATCTAAACTCGTCGGATGGTTTATGACGTAATAATAATGACTGAAATGTTTAAAATTAGGTCAGGAAAGCAACAGAAGTAATTACAGGTGGAGATTAAGTAGAGGTGCAGTAGAGAATAATGTCACTTAAATTAGGACTAAAGTTGAGCAAGCAAGTTGGATAACGTAACATAATTTGACTAGAAATTGAGCGTTGGTCAAGACAGTAACAGTGGTATTGAAGTGTAGAAATTAAATCGAGTGGAAGTAGATAATACGAAAGTTGAAAATTTAAAATATTGCAATTGTAATAATTTGTAATATTTTATTTTTACAACTGTAATATTTTACACTTTCAACTTTCTTATATGTGTCTGAAAACTAGCTAGCGCATTTGCAAGAGGTAGTGGACTTTTGTCATCAGTTGCCTTCGTTAGCTTCATACTGAAGATCAAATGGCCGGCCGGCCAGGCAGAAAGAATTAGCAGCAAGAAATTCTGGCTGTCTGGAAACCAAGCCAACCAAGAGCCTGTTTCTCAACAAATATGTCAGAGAAAATGGAAATGGATTGAGCATACACTGAGGAAACCGTTGGGTGACATAGTGCGCCAGGCTCTCGCTTGAGTAGAAAGAAGGTGAATGAAAACCTCTAGTGGGTCGTTCGAGGATGATATGGAGGAGATAAGAGGAGGAAATAAGAGACTGTGAGCAGTTGTTGGATTAGCCAAAGAGGACTAGAGAAAGTATGATAATATCTCAAGTAGAATTAATAAATAGGCGCTTAAAACATCTCCTGGTATGAAAACAGTTCTGAAATAAAACATATATTGAATCAAATAGACACATAATGACAATGTGAGTGGGTGACACAGCAGTTAGGATGCTTAACGACCATGCACATGGTCCGGAGTTCGGTCCCCAGCCACCGACGCACTACTTTACCAGTAAGAAAAGCTGGTAAGGAGGAAATGTTGGGCATGAGGCTAGCAACCCCATCCCGTAAAAATAAACACCACTGGTACAGAAACTCAAAGCCTCTCACTTGAAGCCCTGTGTTCCACGTGGAATGTGAAGTGATAAAAACAATGGTGACAAGTGAAGTACAATCAGATGTCATTCAAAGTGGAAATGATTAGTGATAGTTACACAGATTTTCAATGAACGTAACGAAAATACACAAGGCTAAGGTAGAAATGCGGACCGTAATAATTTAACATCGACCACCTGTGACCACAGAAGACGCACATTATTGCACCAACGTCGTTTCCGTATCCAAAGTCGTCGTCGTTTTTTTACTTTGACAGGTAAAAGTTCAGCAATACAGTTATCCCGGATACGCAATCATTTTGTCAAGTTGTGTTTCTCCTTATGAGTAAGATTAAAGGAAGAGGTTTTGAAGAATAAGATGATTAGTGTTGACCAGCTATACGAAGTGCATTAATTGAATATTTGGTTAACACAGAACTATATATATCCTGATAAAAAAAGGCAGTTAAACAACATGCACTGAAGTAAGTTGACTCCTTTCAAATAAGCATTTCAGAACTAAAACAGAATATCTGTCAGAGATTGTGAGCTTTCCCAATGAGTCTCAAGGATTCACAGAACGCTCTGATACAGTTGCTAAGAATGGATAGTTTCATTCTTCCATATACCAGCTAATTTAAAGTCTCATATCCGTCAGATATGTACAGCCACAGAAAATTAATTCGCCTAAAATAGCCGCTTCACGGATTTACGTTCACATTGATATTTAACACATAACTAGGTACATGTGTTTGTAATTGTTTCAAAGATTTTTAAATTCTGCATAAGTAATCGCATACTGTACCTCTGATCCCATCTCAGAGCAAGTCGACATAATATATGCATGCAGTGAATTAGTTTGGTGAATGGTTCCTAACGGTGAAGTGGAGTGGAATACACATTTCGTCCTATTCAAGACTCGTCACCCAGATGTACCTGCATTCCCCAATGAGTGACTGTGTTTCAAAGGAGACTCGAACCCAGTATCCATCGCTTCAAACGTCAAATCGTTATTCGCCAGATTACTTGAGCCACAAGAGCCACCTCTTGTACAACAGGCATCAGTTATTATTTGTTTTCAGTTCACTTTTGATTTTCCCGCCGATGTATCAGCAGAGGCTGAACTTCTTGGTCCAACGAATAAACGGGAAAACTGAATAAAAAACAATTAATGAGTCACTGGCTCAACGGTAGGATGCTTGTCGACCATGCACGTGGTTCGGGGTCCATGCCCCGGCCGGCACTAGCCTAGCCGCTTGTAAGAATGACAAAGGGGGTAGGTTGGGTATAATTCTAGTAACCTCACTCTGTAAGAAACATCACTACTACAGAAACACCAAAGCTCTAGCTTGAAGCCCTATGTTCTACTGTAACAACAGAAGACAAGGGTCAGTCAACAGATCGTTTATTGAGGAAATCAACAGATATTTATAGACTTTCATGTACACATTATAGATTATAAGTAAGCAGAAAAACACAGTCTTCTGATTGGTTGTTTCTCACAGAAAGTTAACCTTGCATCTCTTTGTGGCTGTTTCTTGAGTGTCAGATCATCTGTATGCTAACTCTATCCGCCTACGCGAAGCCTTTGTTCTCATTTTTCTCACAACCAATACTGGGGATATAAAACCCATTTATGTTACTTTTCATAACTTTAACTCTGTCTCATTTTATTGGGTATCAACACACTCACTACTATTGTTGAGTTTTTCTACAAGTTTTTCATCCTCGTGAAGTCAATCATTCTACACTTAGCTAAATTCATCGTACTATTCCCGATCCACTTGTCTGTCCCAATGTAGTTGACTTCATTGTCATTGCAAGTTGTCTCGCAGGTTACATTTCTGAGTCTAATTGGATGCCTAGACCCCCTTAAGCTGCAGAGATTATCTCTAAGTGAGTTGGTAGGTTTAAGCTCCGCCTTGATTAGTGCTTTGTTAAGAATCCTACTTGGGGTTTCGGACGTCCCACGCATATATGGAAATACTGTGTGAATGCCTTAAATTCCATCTTATTTAGGTTATAGTTTAATAGATTCACTACCGCTTCTTATTTACTTGCGAGCTTTTTCAATTTTTCAATGAATTCGACAGGACAGTTATTTAGCATTAGTGCCTCTTTTATCAGTTTCATTACGTTACTTAGGTTTCCTGATGTACTACTTAGAGTTATTGTCCTGTTTGTTAGACACTTAAACAATCATGTCTTTACAAGTGACAGATGGGATGGATTAAAGTTTATATGCGTATATACTATATATGTACATGCGTATACGTATATATAATGGAATCGTGCGCATTGCTGGCTGTCACTGTAGTAAAATCCGAGTGGAAAACGACGAGTGACCATCGCTACGACAGTGACACGGAGTAGATAGTGCGAGTTGGAGGAGACTGAGGATTTTATTTTTTTATTTTTTTATTTTTGATTACAGCTTGATTCCACACCGTATTTTTGGTACAAGTATGGAATTTTCAGCGTGGATATCGGTAGCCTAAATTTCGCAGGCCGACCATAGATATCAGGTGTGCGCCGGCGTGGGCTCGAACCCCGGACCATATGCATGGTCGGCGAGAGTCCTAACCACTGTGCCACCAACGCACAATGGGCAATCGTGGCCGCAGCTGAAGTGGACACTACCAAGTGAACAAAGTGGAGATGTGTTGTTAAAGCCCTATGTTCAACGCAGAACCCAAGGGAATAATCAAAAATTGATCTACAAATCATTTCACTCTATGATGGAATTACACTCCACCTTAGTGCCCTAGTTCTTTTCTAATATCAATTCACACTCCGACTTTACGAGGCAATACTGCTATTGTGAACAAGACAGCGATCCTACATTTTATAAGTCTTTTCCTGTGATTAAAGACAGCTGACAATAACCTGAGTGATTAGAACAAAGTTGAACGTTCATTTATTTTGAATTTATTTTTATCTTTTTATTTTAGTTCGGTGGACTTGAAGCTATTATCACAGCAATCATGGATAGTGTTCCTGCGTTAGCTGGTAGACGAGAAATTTTTGTCCTTGAGTAATTATATATTGTTTAATTGGCGCGTTAGCATCAACCACATGTGTAAGATATTTTATCTTTCACATTTTATCTTTCATCTTTCGCGTTCTCTGTATTATATCAGTTTTTAAATACTATGCCTCTGTTTTTAGCCTCTTGTGTGCAGATAGCTGTAAAACTCACAAGGATTACACAAACACTGCTGGAAGCGCAGTGTGTGTGTGTGTTGTTATTCCAAAAAATGCTAGTGCGAGATAAATGCATCCTTGGTTCAATGGTTAAATGCTTTTCAGCCACATAAGTGGTCTGGCTTCAATATTTTCAGCTGACTTACTGCTAAAATCCATCCAGTTTACTACCGTCAGGTAGTTGAATCGGAAAAGAGATGAGACTGACAGTGAGGCTGAAAAATCCACTCCGTAAGAAGATATCACTAATGCTACTGAAATTGCAAAGCACAGTGTATGAAACCTATATGATCAACTTGGTACACAAAGAAATTAAAATAAAAAATGAACTAAGCAGACAAAGATCCCCTGAAATCCTTAATTTGTATTACTGTTTGCGAATAACTATGATATGATAACTATGATAAAAGGCAATCAAATTGAGCTAACTTTCCTGAATACCAATACGATGATGCCATAGTGGCATTTTAATAGATGGATGCAAAATAATTTTGACAAATACAAGAAAACGAATAAAAATTACGCAAAATTTTGTAGTCGAAATTAAGGCCACTTATCTGTATCATCGGGTGGAAACTTGGTTTTGTTGAATCATTATTATATGGGAGCGTATTGACACCAGTGAGTTGTAAACGTTTCATTTTATTTATTTAATCTCAGAAGTCTTTTTCTTCATTATCCTGCTTTGAAATCTCAGTAGCGGTGATGCTGTTTTGTTCTTCTTATGGGGTGCGAGAACTATTGTGATGCCCGAACTTCCTTCTCTCCCAGCCTTATTAATGGCTTGGAAACTTGGTGAAGTTTGAGGAATGCGTAAGCCGGGAATCAAACAAACCCTGACCTACGGCGTGACTGCCAAGCACTTTATCACCCACAACCTCATCCGAACCTCGAATGTACAATGGTCATGATGAACGGTTTAATAATTAGAATTACTTTCATAAGTCACCGTTACTGTTGCCGACTAGTTCAAACTGAAACTATCAGTCTTTATTCAAATGCATAGTACTTGAAAAGACATTTCATGACAATGATTTCATTAAAATATGGATAACAAAAGAACTAATCGAAATAAAACAGTAACTTCAATGGATGTGTTTCTATCTCTTTGACTGCTTATAATGTGGAGCTGAATTTACCAGCCTCTTTATGTTATATCGGCATTTTGCACAGAAATCTTGATACGGACACCGTACACTGAAGGAGTGGCTGGTCTTGAAGGGAGGTAAGTGGGAACGAGCTTCCATTGATTCTGCTAGCATATCGTGAATCCACCCAGGAGAGAACAAAGAAGTTACCATTTCACTTTATGTATGGCAGGAAACCACGACTACAAATACACAGAAGAACCTGGCCCCTCCACCAGTAGTGGAATACGATAAGATTGCAAACTGAATGGAAAGAAACCATCAAGAATGCAAGGCGGAAAGAGAAGAAAAGCGCCATGAAATAAGAACAGGGAGAAGAGATGAGATGCAGAACGTCTGAAGTTGGCGATCAAGTGTAGGAAAGAAAGGTTAATGCGGGTCAGTATCATGGGAACTCCTTCCGAAGTGGGAAGGGTGATACACTGTCACTAAGTGAGATGATCCCTTTTATATCATCAAAAGAGGAAATAAGCTGAAGTAATTTAAAACCAGTCACCTGGAGAAATGGATTCAGTGGGATAAGAGAGGCGGTATCAATGTACAACAGGAAGGGGTAGAATCAAGGAGATTGCTAGTACACATTTTCTACGAATCGTTTCAACTTTTACCTTTACAAATTGAGTTCTTGTTGAGGCGTGTGATGGTAGCCAGCACTGGTATTCGTGATAAGCATTTCTTTGCGTTCCTGACTTGTCTGATGAGTGTGCCTCAGTTTTACTAGGTTCACACGTTTCTACTGGTGCTTGGATCCATTAATCTTCATATTTCATATTAAATGCATAACTAAAAATTTTCACCTCACTGAAATGTATTTATTCCAGTCCTTCGCTTATTTAATGCATTGTACTGAATTTATCTTTTTCATAGATTGAATCGATGTCATATTCAGTTGACTTTCTTGGCTTTTACTTACAGTATGTTGACATTTTCAATTTTTAGGGTGGATATCTTGTTCTCACTATGCTTGATCGTCATGGAGCTCCGATTTCTATTCTGTTCATTGTGTTCTGTGAATGCGTGGCGTTATGTTGGTTTTACGGTAAGCATTCAGTGTAATACAGGCCTTAAATGTTTAGCGTTAAAGTTTTAGAAGCGATAGTACGCTTGTTTTTATTGAATGTGACTGCATATTGTCCAGGGTTCGATCTTCGGCTAATGCACATCTGATATAAATGGTTGGCCTTTTAATTTGGGCTACTGATATCACATGCTGAAAATTCCACAGCTGTACTGAAACACTGTGTGGAATTAAGCTATGATAAAAAAAACAATAACAAATCATTGAAACATGAAGAAACGTCTCAGCACTTCTGGTGACCCAGTGATTTAGGCGGATCGCCGTTAAATTTCTTGTTCTTCGAGTTAAAGTCTCAAGAACAAGGCATCAATGATATAAATGACTAAAGTGCTTTTAACTTCAGTTAAAATGTAAAACATACTCTTTTAAGACATTAGTTAATTGTTTCACATTCACTCTGTATTGACACGCTAAAATTAATAACAGACATAAAGAGTAAGATGAAGGCTAACATAGACATCTGTTTCGATTCATTAAGTATTGTACTAAATTATACATGATTATACTGCAAACAATATATCATATTTGTTTCATTATTATCATTAAAGGAATTACATCATATACTACGAGATGTCTTAGAAAACCTATGGTTTTTATATCAGTTTGCTGTTGAAATGGTTTAGGCCGATTGACACCCCTGTAGGCTTCAAGAAATACTGACACTAAGACAAGCTTCCCATTTGACAAATACCGTATAGCTGAGATATAAACATATATGGACCAACAATTAAATATGAGCAGAGACATATTTTACGCACTGTGCAAAATATCTCCTAACAGAAAGCTTGCCTAATATCTCATTTATGAATGCCCCAGTAGGAGTTGATTCGCGAACCATCCTCAAATATATAGCATATGAATTGGTGGTTCAGTGATGGAATACTCGCTAATCATGCACTAAAGTCCAGGTTCAAGTAACGGCCGTCACATTCCTAAAAGTTATCTAGTTTACTAGTGGATAATAAAGCCGTATAAACGGGAGATTAAGTGAGGTGCTAACAGCCCTACTCCATGATAGGAAGTACACTACCACTGACATTTCAGATCTTCAAGTCCTGGAATCTTGACCTATAACCCAAAGGATGTAAACATGTCTTCAGTTATAAGAAGCGATTATCATTAGTATTATTATTATTACCTAGAGTTATGAGTGGAACATAGAGCTTCAAAAACACGCCTCTACTTTGTCCTATTTGGAGCTTTCCTCTTCAGCTGGCTAGCTCCACGACTGCCTATAATCTCACATCTTTGCCTCCCCAAATGATCGCTTCCATGTCACCTGCAGACGACCCACTCTCATTCTCCATTTTGGGTTCTACTCAAACGATGGCCTGGCGAATGATGTCATTCGATGGTCTCCTCAGTGTGTAACCAATCCATCTCTATTTCCTCCGATATATTTGTTGAGTAATAGGCTCTTGGTTGGTTTGTTACCAGCCAGAATTTTATTGTTGTTAATTGTTTCTGGCTGGCCGACCATTTAGTATTCAGTATAGGGCTAGTGAAGGGGCAGCTGTTGACAAAAGTCTGCATTTTGTGGAAAATCCTTTTCGTGACCCAAATGCCAGGCTTCTGACTGACTTCCCGTTTGTGCTGAAAATTCGAATATTGTTCTTTATGTCGGCTGAGTGCAGGAGATTTCCAAAAACCGGTTTCAACTTGATGAAAACTAGCAAGCTAGCTAAATAGGCGAGGTTAATTAACATGAGTACACCTCAGCAGATAAATTTTTTGTTTCTTTGTATTCAATTCCGTCAGGAAATTAAAAGGCTACTGTGTAGCAATGATTTGAGTTCAGTTGTTATGAGTTAAGAAGTGTAGGATTCATTCAAACCATGATTAACATTACTCAAAACTAGGTAGGCAGTTTTTCCTGTATTTACATTCGCTGTATTCAAAAAAAGTTGCGAATGCATGATTTGAATACAATTCGTTCAAAAGATGACAGCTAGCGTAGAACAATACCAAACCTTCACAATCATAATCGAATAGCCCTTCTTCGACCTAAGCTTATAACTTGCTGACAGTCCCAAGCAACACATGTCGATAACCCTTATGACAATCTATGATGCCTCGAAGATGAAACATTTATCCATACTGTACCAAAGCTAAAAACCCTACCAGCATGATAGAGGCTTTTCTCAACTTTTATTGTGACCCTAAATTCCATAAATAAACAATAACACCATCTCATTCTGAAGAAGAAGAATCTTATGAGTAATCAAAATCATGTAATGATGTATTCTGGTACTTGTTTCACTATGCGATGACTCAGTAAATCCTCTAAATGCTCACCGTAAGGTGAAAGTCGACGATCTTGAATGTCATCAGTATGCCTGCACTTTAAACAAGATTAAATAATAAGATAAGGAAATGCAATGAAATATGCTTCCCAAATACTAGTTTGTAAGGATTTGATTGGTTTCAAGTTTTATCACGGATTAATATTAGTTAACAAACTACTGAAAGGCAGAGGTTACTGAACAGTAGTTCCCTTCTCTTTTTCGACCTTTCAGCAGTACACAATCATGATCCTGGGACATTTAGGTTACGAGGCTTACTCATTGACCGTCCAATAGTCGATCTTTTCTGACTTCTATCATTTAACGGTTTTCAGAACTACCACCAATCAGTGTTATCAGCAAATATTTATCGTCATACCTGTCCTAAGCGACCCAACTAGCCACAACTTCCCACCAGAACCTTACCCTGTAACCGATCACTAGTAGGCATCAGACAAATTTTCAAGTGTTGCTTTGCAGGGATTTAATCTGTTACAGGACTCATCATGAGCTGAAATCCGGTAGAGGACTATTGATAAACTATCAGGAGTAATGGACATCTGTTTCGTCCCAATTTGAAGCTCCTCACAGTACGCATCCACCGGACTCGGACCTTTCGCTTACAAGGCGAGCTGGTAGACCATTAAGCCGATGGCATCCCATGAATTGAAAATCCTGCCAATTAGTGATATATATTTGGCGGAAACACTAGGCAATATCAAGAGAGAGTAACTACTCCTTTGTCTGGCTCGATGGACTCCGCTGGTGTTTGTTTGACGCGAATCAATAGAAGTTAAGATCGGTCGACTACTAAGTTTCATCCTAGTGAATAAGTGGTCAACAAGATCGTCTCGTAACCTCAAGGTCCATAGTTTGATCTCTATCAATGAGGTTATGCGTGTGCACCTCCTAGGAGTCTGAATGTTGAGCGAAATATCAGTTTAATAATCCCTGATTTTCAATAGCTTTCTAACCAACATCTATCCTTGATCAAACCTGGAATTAAATATCCCCGCAAGATTATATGTAGTAAAGGGACAGATGAAAATGCCCTGGCTTTCTCTATCTCTCTTCACTTTTTATTTGTTTCAAAAATTTTAAAATCTAAATTCATATATCTCCATCTTTCTACAGGTACCAAACGATTTTGTCAAGATGTGCAAATGATGCTTGGATTTAAGCCTGGTATATTTTGGAGAATTTGTTGGGCTTATATAAGTCCAATATTTCTTCTGGTAAGCAAATCATTAAAATGCGATTGTTACTGGCACTTATTTTTACTCAACTCCATTTATTTTTTCATCTTAAACGCACATCAACATTAAACGCGTAAGACTAAGTATTTTATTCGCTACCACATTGTGTAAAGTACCAGTAATTTCTAAGTGAAGTCTTTATTCTCTATGCCTTATTAAGAGTGATGATTCATGTCGGTCAACAAGTTAGTGATAAATAACGTGAAATTCTACTTTCAAGTTTTCATAGTGATGTGGACATGGATACTTATACATTCTTCAAGATATTTGTTTGATCGATTCTGGGATGAGTATCTTGCTCTACTTGGGAATTATTGTGGGACTGTAACTGTATCTCACTGAGTGGCTGTATTCCTGAGCAGATTTAAACCTAGCACTTACCTCCACAACAGTTTTGTCTTACACAACCAGCATGATTTCATACTCTTCGTTTATACAACGAACATTTCGAGACAAGTAAATTCAGGTCAGAAATCATAAAAAAAAATGTTAAGGGATCCGTTCTGTGAGACGAAATCGGGGGATCAAATTATTCCGGAAATATAGTTAGGAGTTCATGAATTTATGTTTAAAACGATCGAATATATCGTAGAAGTGAGTATTTCAGACAACGCTACAACGACTAATACTGAGGTAACATGTTTTCAGAATTTTCTTTTCTGATCTTTTATGTTTGTTCCTGACCTTGAAGGACTTTATCACCACTCTCTTTATCCAGTCACCTAAATTATCATAGAATGATTGTTGATGAATGTAGCTAATGTTTTGATGAAATCTTTAGCACCTCATAATACTGAGAACCAAAAAGCAATACTTCTATATGTGCTTTGATTGTAGGTTATGATATCATAAAGGTTGGATAAAAATATTCGTTATGATAACTACATTGTTGTCTTGTCACAGGTATAAACGAACCTTCAGTTATCCCTTTTAATACCATCAACCTGATGTAGGCGAAAAATACCAGGCTCATATGTAGTGTTCATAATGAACACCTACATCGCATCTCTGTTAACAATAGGTGACTATGTCTAAACGTTACTGTCTTCATAATGCCAGTAAATGATTATTTAAAAATTTAATGGATGTTAAATTTGACTGCTGGTAATCTAGATGAATGAAAATACAAACTAAGGAGTCAGATCTATTTATATCCATGGTAAATGTACAGGTTGAACTGGTTTCTTTTGAACACAAAGCTCTGGTTTTTCAATGAGTATGGCGAAGGTTTATGCAATACAACTTCTAGTCCAACATCTACATCTATTATGGATATATCCGCCCCCCTTTTTGCACCTACCCTGGCTACGAATTAGATCACATACTGTGCAACTATTTTCCACCCCAATAAAGAGGGAAGGTTGTGCATAGAGTAGCAGTCCAGCTCCGTGAAAAAACGCCATCTCTCCCGTGTGAATCTCCTTCCTTAAAAGTTGATGGTAAATGTAAAAAAGCGTTTTCCCTCTCTTACGGAAAGCTAGTTGATGAATAAGATCCCCTCACCCCCTCCCCGCAATAATTATCCCTATGCAAACTAGTAAAATTACAGCTGATAAGAGATTCAAACAAAACGCTATCAGCATGGAAGATTCAGAAAAATGCCTTTTTTAGAATCCCATTTAAAAAATAGAAAAATTAGAGAGGACTATCATGTCATATGGAAAGTTTGCTGGAGTTTAAAATGGAACCCGTTGGATTTTCGAATGAGTTTACGATACACCCTAACTATAAAGCTTGCTACAGTGCCGTTGTCGTACAGCTGTTGAATAAGGTTGACTAATATTTGGGGTACACCGTAGTACTCGAGTAAATTCCAAATTACTTCGCGGTCAACGCTGTCTGCTGAAGGCCTTCTCGAAGTCTATAAAGTTGAGGTACAGGTTTGATTGCCGTTCCATGCTTTGTTCGATGAATGGCAATCAAACCTGTACCTCAACTTTATAGAATTTTAGAAGGCCTTCAACAGACAGTGTTGACCGCGAAGTAATTTGGAAATTACTCGAGTACTACAGCGTGAAGCGCCCAAATATTCATCAACCTTATTCAACAGCTGTACGACAATGGAACATGTCAAGTCATCCACAACGAAAAACTCAGCGAGGCGTTTGGAATAAACACAGGAGTCAGACAAGGCGCGCTTATTATCACCAATGATATTCCTAATTGTGGTGGACTGGATTATGCGTCAGACAGTGGGAAATGAGAAGACAGGTATATCCTGGACCGACGTGAAGAACCTAGAAGACCTGGATTTAGCGCGTGGATGATTTATGTTTGATGTCACACAAAATTGAAGACTTACAAGCGAAAACCAACAAACTGGTTGAAGAAGCAGCCGGTGAAGACAGGACTCCAAGTGAACATAGACGAGACGGAGGTTATAAAAATAACCAGCCAACAACAACAACAACAGCAGCAGCAACATCCAGCGCCAATCATCATCAACAGGAGGGATCTGAAAGAGGTTACTTCATTCACTTATCTGGCCAGGGAGCATTGTCTTAACTACAGGGAGTCGGAACGGACGAGGATGCCAAATCGAGCGAGAATCGGGAAGGCGAGAAACACAGACATTCATCTGGAAATCTTCGTCACTCAGCCAGCATCAACAACAAAATTCAGTCGGATTTTCAATACAAACGTCAAGTCAGTCACTTCTTCTATGCGGATCACAAACTTGGCGGGCGGGTCACAAAGAATATTTCCAATAGCCTGTTGCAGACTAAACTTTTATCAACAACTCTCTTCACTGGATCTATACTGAAGATCAGATGGCCGGGCCGGAAAGAATCACCAACAAGGAACTATGGGAACAAACAAAGCAAGAACCAATCGCCACAAAAAATATGCAGGAGAAAGTGCAGATGGATCAGACACTCGCTGAAGAGACCACCGGGTGACATCGCGCGTCAAGCCATTGTTCGAGCAGAACCCGAAAGGGAAGCGGTGAGTGGGTCGTCGGTGCAAGGGTGACATGGAGGAGATCGTGTGAAGAGGAGTTGAAAGAGTATGGACTAACATGGATGCAGGTGAAAAAAGTATAGCAGAAGACAGAAGTGGCAAGTGGAGACTTGCAGTTGAAGCCGTCCTATGTTCCACTAGGAACCCAAGGGAACAGTAATAATAATAAATGAATACAGTGTTGCTATGATCATTTATTAACATAAACATTATATTATTTAGATATCTGTCGGTAAAATTGCAAAATGGTACAAAGTTTTATGAGGTGGTTATTTGGACGGCTTCAGATTTGTTGCTAGTGTCCGTGACAGTAAATGTTGTCTCATAGTCATCATATCTAGCTAGGCTTAGAACTTCAAATTATATTTTCATAATTTTATATTGCTACATATGCTGTATATATTGCATGTAGTTCAGCGACGAGTCAATTTCCGCCGAATCCATTCACTTCTTAGATATAAAGTCGCAATTATACATACAATAATTTGTGTGTGTGTATAGATTAAGGTTTTTCAGACAAGAATAAAAATTAGTTAGGATTAGTTGTTTTTGTCATAAAAATTTTTCAAAAATATGCAATTAATGACCCGATTGTAACTAGAGGGAGAGAAGATTAATAAGAGAGTAGTGTTGATGATTTTTTTTAAAAAAAGGTATAGTTGTTAACGTTGAATAAGTGTAATAATTCGAATTACGTAATAAGACGAGTAATTTAATGAGTGAGTTGTGTGTGATTCAGATTCACCTTGAAAAGAAAGGAAAATATAGAAATACATAAGAGTTGACAAGAAATACAAGAGTTACAGTGAGTCAGGGAAAACAAGTACACAAACATCAGGTGATTAGGAATCGTCAAGATTGTTATAATGATAGTAGAAATGGTTGAATAGTTTTTTTTTCTTTTGTATGCGTTGCTCCGATTCGTCTATCTGAATGGCTAAGGCTTCAGCAGTGCAAAGGAAAGGGAAAGGAAATGCGTTTGTCAGGCGTTTGTTTCAGACCAAGGCGTTTGATTATCACACTCCTTATGCAACCATGAGTGATGGTGTTCTCCGACCATTTTAGACAGGATACGCATCGGACCATCAATGCAGCAAGCTTCACAGCAACAGGTGAGCCAATATACACACAAAGCAGTGGACAGATATGAGATATTGTCCTCGAGGCTACTGCAGACCAAAGGACAGCTGGACAAATCTACTCTTAGCGTTGCTGCGAAGGTTGTTCTTCTTACAAAAAGCTGAAATTCTTCTCTTAAGGATACTGTTTACTCAAACAGGGATTATTTAGACTATGCCAAAGTGGGCTATACCAGATTTCATGTGCTTGTTGGGTTTTCATCTTCCTGCTTTTTACTAAATGTCACTTATAAGGGAACACTTCAATAGAAGTGGATCACAAATAAGCCTTACAGAGGGTCACCTAGATTATTTCATAAAAAAGTATTCAATCTTTCCCTCCATCTCGTTTGATGACGTTAAGAAAGACGGGTGGTCATGGAAGTACAAAATGTGCTACGCATACAAGGACTATTTACTTATTTACACGTCTTAGTCTAACTGAGTACCCAACAAAGTCTGCTGATGTCTCATTAAAAATCTGAAAGAAAAAGTACTGAAAAAATATTTTTCTTTTTTGGCTTTCTGATAAATTATCAACACTGTCAACTTAGATTTGTTTTTAAAAAAAACACAACAAATTCGCATAATTTTAATGGTCAAAATATCTCCTCTCCTTCCTTCTATTCTGTTCGACTCAACTTACTTCAATCCACCGTAATTTAACAAACAGTCAGTAGTTATAAAACATCAACAATATAACCACAATCTCTTTAATTCTATCTGATTAGTTCATGTGCTTTTGATCGAAAAATGTGATAGTGTACAGAAAGAAAAAAAGAAAAACTATGTGTATTTATGAATTAAAGTCATGATATTATAAAAGATAAAAAAGCTTGATCTATAGTTGAAAAGAAATTTGCATATAAATGAGATATTAATCGTCAATCGCCTTCTGCT